AATGGCTATGGATGTCCGAGAGACATCTGGAGTTTATTCGCTTTAATGCTTACTACTAATCTCCATTTATCTTTGGACAAAAGAAAGGCTCCGAAGCCTCAAATCCCAGATGTTTCCGCCAGATACACCCCCGGACGGGACATTTTGAGATTGTTCAGGCCTGGTTGATCACTATACCAAGCTTTTCATCTAGCAGACTGTTGGACAATCTCGTCTCCTATCAGCACTCTACTAGTGCCTCTAATGAGTGGTTTATACCAAGCCGTCGGTGTTATGTCCCATGGATGGCAAGCTCGGTGACTACTTTACTGAATATCAGATAGCTCAAAGAGGCTATCCATCGCTACTCCATGAAATAAGTCTATCAAAGTAAATAGTAACTTCTACTTTACTTTATCATGGGACGGCTGTAGAGTGTCCCCCCAGAATATGTGTCAGATCGTCATTACCGGTTTTTTTTTATTTTGGTTTTTACCTTTTAAAGAAGGCTAAACGATCCCTCCAAAGGATGAATCTACATGCATCTATAGCAGCTATTGATCTAGCATTGGACCAAGATATACTCAGATAGCCAAGTAGATACTTCCAGGAGCACTCACTACCCCAATGGTACAAATCGGGCACTTTATCCTGGTTACCCGGACACCCCAAACTGTCAAATCTTTAATCATTTACCCCACCATTAACCCCACCACCACACCACACTCCCGCAACCACGCCCTCGCACAGCCCAAAATGACTACGCCCACAAAATCCCTAGAAGCATCCACGCTCTCGCTTCTAACACTAATATCACACAGCCGCAGCCGTCCTCTCCAGCGGCGGCATAGCCCCAGCCTCCAAGCCCTCCACCGACAACCCACTCGACATCCTCCACGACATCGGCGCCCTCACGCGCGCCCCCACCACCAAGCTCTCCATCGCGATTCGGCCACTAACATCATCTACGATGCCGCTGCGCGCTGCGTCCAGGACATCATGCAGTTCGTTGTGCCCCCGCTGCTGGCCACAGTGGAGCTAATGTCGCCCAAGCAGCACGGAAGCCTCTGTATGCTGCTGTGCTCAGGGCCGCTGACAACACCCTGGCGGCGCTGGAGGAGTTTGCGAAAGAGATCCCCGAGATCTGCCGATGTGGGCAAGAGCGCGTGTGGCCGAGAGATCGGCTAGCGAGCACGGGTGTGGTGTGTGGCAGGCTGCGATGGGCTGTCGCGCTGAGGGCGAAGGGGCTTGCCGGGGTGGTCCAGGATGTAGTTGAGCGCATATGGCGATGCTGAAAGATGCTATGGGCGGAACTCAAGGAGTGGCTTGAGAGTAACGACGAGGACGAAGATGATGAGGCGGAGGGTGAAGCCGAGGACGAGGATGCGTTTCTGGGATGCGCCAAAGAAGGCCCTCTCGAAGGACGACACTGAGGCTAGGGAGAAAGTGGACGCATCGTTAAAGAAGATGAAGTTGGCCACTATTCTCCTCGGCGCGGTGGTAAAGCGAAGATTGGCAGGCGAGGGAAAGCTACAGGATGCCCAGCGATTGGATAAGATCGCGGAATTGGCAAAGAGTGTGGCAAACTCGGGAGACGATATCGGCATGGGGATACTATGAGGGACGATGCAGATGAGCTGTGCGGACTCCTCTTTCTTCTCCATTATGGAAGTTACTGATTGGGATTATTGACAGGCTGAGGACGCAAAAGAGTTCGAGAAGAAAGCCATTGAGTTGGCAGAGCTGGCAACCCTTGCGAACGATGGTAATGATGACTCGTTCAGCAAGTGGTTCCGGGAATTGCAAAGATGCAATTTCAAAGAACGGCTGATCAGAAGATGAATAAAAAAAAAAATATAGACAAATACCCCAACTATCAACAAGCAATACTTAAAGTTATAAGGTCATGGGATATCACTCAACCCCAAGCGGAGACATTACGGTTAATATGCCTCACCATCACCACGGATACACTTTTCGCCGAAGATCCGATACTGCGTCGCGGGATGCGCACAAGTGTAGATATCCCGAACCAAAGCTCAAATACAAGCTACATACATGTGCCTCCCAATTTGATTCTATGCATTTCCGCTATTCCACGTCCTCATCTATACAACTAGACCCAACCCAATCAAGCCACATGCTAAGTATGCTCATATGCAATATGCAATCCGCCAGCCAGCCAGACCAGACACCTCCAACAGCAATAAAAAAAGACGGAAAAAAAATCCACACGCCAAAGGAATGACAAAAAAACCCAGAACCCAAGCCATCAAGCCATCGAACCATCCCATCCGTTCCTTTTCACTTCCAAAAATAAATAAGTGTAACCAATGCAAAGAAAGAATGAGAAAAAATGCCAGAGGAACAAAAAAAAAAGCTATATATACATTTCCCAAGCTAAAAGAAGTCCAAACCCGCTGCTTACGTGAGAATAAGATAGGAATAAAATAGTAATACTGAACCCGAGCTTTTTTTAATCGATTGCTGATCACGCTATTGTCTTAACGCTGACTGTTGTCGCTAAGGACTGCAGGAGCAGGTCTCTCCACATCAGCACTATTAATCGTCGTCAACCCCACACCCCCCCGTGCCGTCTCCGCACCCGCCACTTCAGCCGCCGGAGGCGCAGGCTCATTAACCGTAACCGACGAGCCGCTCTACTCCCGCTCATGCGCCGGTTAAAGACCCTTCTCAGTCTACTGATCCCCAACTCTGGCGCGCGGCTCCTTGGCGGTCTGGGTGCCGTTCTCTTCTCGCAGCTGCCTCAAGGCGGCCATGCGTTCGTCACTTGAAGAGCTGCCGCGTGCGATATCGAGATAGCGCATTATGCGGCTGCCACTCTGAACTGGTTCTGGGGCTGGTGAGGGGTTACTTCGATGGATTGACGCTGGTCTTCAGGGCGGAGGTCGGATACGGCTGTTCCGAGATGTTAGTTACAAAACTTTTAGAGAGGCATGATAGTGATGTTATTACATACCATAATGGACAGGAACCAGCAACGTTAAGTAGCCATGGGTCAATACAATCTGGGTGGAAACTGTGATGGGCACGGCAGGACACGCAGATCCACTCCAGACTCAAAGTCTTCCATACAAACCGGGCACCTCAGCTGCGACGGATCCATCTCTGACGTTGACATCACCGCCGGCTCGGCACCCTCCCTCGCAGCAGCATCCTCACCAGAAACCGGCGCAATTCCACTTACACTCGGGGTGGACTGTGATGCTACCGAAGGCACGACAGACCTTCTACGATCATCTTCGGATGTCCTGGATGTGATTGAGTCAGGTGCCATCTCCAGGTCAGTTGGTTTGACATCCATCATTGGCACCTTCCGGAGCTGGCGGGTCTCCGAAACGGACGATCGGCAGGGTGTCCAAGACTGCTCTTGCAAGGCCTTTGGCTCGTGACTGGCGGGGGCGGCCAAACCGGGGCGCTCGCGGGCCGTAACGTTCCGGATGCCTTGTGGGCCCGGATTGCACCGATCAGGATGATAAGCAGGAACAACGCAGTGATAACTCCGGTGATGCTGTAGAGGATTATCAACGCCACGCTTGTAGGACGGCGAGGGTCCCAGAACGCTGTTATTCTGGTTGGAAGACAAGCTGTTTCGGTCCTGTTGGGTTGGCTGATCTTCGACGCTGCTGTCATAGTTTATCGTGACACGAGCTTATCGCCGGTGGTATTCATGAGGAGCTGGAAGTCGTTTGCAGATTCTCTGTCGAGGTTGTAAATACGAGGTCGTAATTGTAGTCTTGCTGTGGATTGTAGTCGCAATAGTCGTGCTCGACGGTGTAGAATATCACGCAGTATGGTTGGGGTTTCTGGGAGATTGCTTTGAGGAAGGCAAGCGGAGGCATTATTTCCGTTGGAGGAGTCGCAGGATATGAATGCCAAGTTGCCAGTGGAGAATTCCCGGTCCGTATCGGAAGTGTACAGGACTAGGTTGTTGACAAAGTTCTTCACTTTCTGGGATTGGCCAAATTAGTAACATGTTCATATCTCCATATTCATGTTTCATAGCCAGCATCCCCCACCCAGACGAAACAAATAACCAGATAAGATATACAGATAAAGTACAGTTTAACTCTCTCCCCTCACTCTCCCATGCAGAACGGATAATGCTTGTAACGTACCCTTGTATTAGCTTGATCGTGATTGGCATCTAGTGGCAGTTGGTTTATTGGGACTGAGTATGTCCGTGTTCCGTCCGTGGTGGACATAACAAGCCCACTGCGGTTTATCAGGTCCCCATTGTCCCCCGTTTGTATCAATTCTCCCACAGCCCTCCCAGACAACATCGTGACCACGACGAGGACAATAGCGACTGCAGGCAACGACCATGGCTGAAAATATAGCGGACCCCGGTTGAGACGATGCGCGCGGCTAGATCTCGCAGGAGTCTCCATCTCGCAGCAGCAGCAGCAGCAGAATGAGGATGAACACAGCGAATGATGCGGGGGCCCCGAGCAGCGGAAAAAAATTAAAAGGAATCAGTAGAGGGGAGAGGGGGGCTACAGTATTTTGTACTTTTTTGAGGGGGCAGCTGAGGCTCGACCGCAGACTGCGGATAAGCTAACAGGGGGGAGGGGGGGCAAATTGTGGAGGTGAACGACGATTTATTATTCAAGGCTACTTACTTACAGACTCCGTGTACTTACTGACTCTCACTGCCGCAGTTTTCTCTTGGCTGTGTTGTTTTGTTTGGATATCAGGCAAATAACGCTTTGTTTGGCTGATTTGGTGTGGAGAGTGGGAGTGTGGAATGGAAACAACTCTGGCTGGTGGTACGTATCTCTCGCCCTGCGTGTGTGTTTTGAACAATCGTTTCTACTCTTGATCGCCAAACAAGAACATTATGATGCCATAGATTAATGTCCTGTATGTCTGTGGAGCAGCAGAGTACGTACTCTCTACTCTATCCCCCGTTGGTCAATCAAATTCAGCCCTGATTGCCGGTACAAATCCTTCCGCTACTCTACATAAAGAGAAAACTTTCCTACCAACACCACCACCACAAACCACTATGTACTACCACCACAATCATCTACGCCTCAAGAATCCTCCTCCCCCCCCCCCCCCCCCCCCAAAGCCTGGGATCTTAAAAACTCGATGTGGGGGTACGTCTCATAACCTCGGGGGAATGCGATACGGTACGAGCTTCACTACGCGATCGCCCAGGCATACCGATTGGAGGATTTAAGGCCGTCAGGGGTCATGATACTGGGATGTTGGCTGTTCTGGGATCCCATCATGCCCATAATTGAGACAAATAGCCTGTCACCTCCGCAATTGGAACTTGTCCAACTCTTCGTCATTTCCTCACGATGATAGAGAGGGGTATTCAATATTCTGGGAAGCAAAGCTTCTCTGGTAGCCGGGATTGCCGAGGATATGCCCAGAGATCGGAATAATAGTTGGTATTTTCCTGATCACCAATGTGCGGTGAGTATAAATATGTCTCTAGCCTCCAACTTTTTGTCTTTTGTGACTCGGAAAATCCACAAGCAATCGGCTACTAGGTATACATCCGAATAGTAGTTCCGCACTTGCATGCACAGATACATTTACTGTGCCAGAGATATTTCTCGTCGTCCCTTGCGTTGCCAAGGTCGACTAACAAATAAAGATAAAGTGCTAATAATGGGAAACAATTGTACAAATAGACTCCTAGACACTGTCATCGGATTATCGTCTAAATTTATGTGTACATATGTACACACCCGACTTGTATAACCAACATTCGGTGAACTTGTTTCCGCTCCGATGGTAATTGTGATCTTTCTCAGACCAATAATTTTCGGCATGTCGCTAGGATATTTTTTTGTGCGGGGTGGTGTGGGTGTGGGGCATAGCGTTGATGAGATTTTGTGGGGAGGAAAGGCACAACGCGTGTGGGGTCCTTCGGAATCGGGTCCAGAGATGCACCCGGGAAGGTGCCTCCACAGCCGGACTCCAGGAAGAACCCTGGGAAGAAGGATCAGTGAAGGATGTCTCGGTGGTAAGAATCAATTTGCCACTCGCTCTGATCGGAATCGGAGCCAAATGAAATGCTACTCGAGAATCGGAAATTAACAGCAACCTTTCAGAGACAACATATCGGAGGTTTCGTTCGTTATGTATTTATTGAGGTGAAGTGACATGCACGTGGCATATAGAGTTGTGGAAGGTGTGTTTCAAAACAACCTTCGGATTAACCGGGGATCTTGCCCGGGCACCGGCCCTAGCGTCCTCTCCGGAAAAATGGAAAAATTGAAGACCCGGCCGCGCCTGGTCATCTCCCCCAGCTTTTTGACTTTATGCTCCGGTGTTTATTCCCCACAGTAACATGAGGAAAAATGGTTCAAAGGGTAATCTAAATTCTTGCAGGTACCTTGGGGTCATCGGTTGCGCACGTACGGGGAACAGTGAAACCCCAGAAAATTAATCTATCAGAGATCCGGATCCCTCTTCGACTGTGCTGGCCTCTTATTGGTACTCCATAATGACCGTGGCGATGGTTTCTGATGAGATTGGTAAATACTGGCTCTTTGGCTTAAGCTTGAAGTCACTCCATTACTTGGAATTAAAATCTCTGGGTGACATGTCGTGATTGATACATCCTCATCCACAGGGTAACCAAAAACCTCTACTCTAGTGAGCCCTCGACGTACTAGCAGCACCGTACCAGGAAACCCGGGCCAGAGAAGAAACCTGCATACACCTCATGTTTGTCGCTGTGGCACGTGTGACAGGAGGAGGCTCTGGAATTCCGGATAAAATGCAATAATCCGGTGGAATTCCGGATCTTTGCCGAAAAAAACGTTCCCACAAAGCGTAGGAGCTAGGCCAATATAATACAATACTGGCAGGTAGGTCAATAAACTTGGTTCCAGCTAATCTTGTTTGTAATGTCTGGTTAATATCGAGGCTTTTGTAATTGGGGTGGAAAGCAAGCCCCCAGATAAATGAGGGATACAATTGAGAGCATGTTAGCTAGATGACATTTGAGGACGAGGAACACATCTTACTTATCAGCTGTACGACAGAGAGGGCTAGATGCTAACTATGTGGTAAATGAGAAAATCCTAAAGAGGCTCATGCCAGAGGTGGGTGAAATTTGGAAAAACCAAGGTTACAGTTTGATAATTTTGTCATATTGAGACATCTGAATTATCAGCAACGACATGCTTAGAAAGACTGGAAGAGAAGGTCAGGCATTGAAGACGAGAAATTAAACAGCCGCGATGATGTTCCAGCTGAAAGACTGGCTTCAATTCTTAATCTTTGAGCGAAGCTCCAACCTAGCCCTTTTTCTGGGCGTCTAATGCACATGACCCATAGCCCTATTTCGAAACCTAACCCACCAAGTCAAATATATTGCTTTCTTTTGAGCTAATTGTTCTAAACCGCTTGGCCCTACCACCCCATGATCATCTATTTCGCTTATTCGTGAAGGCACTATCGGATTTAGAGGTTTTGGATAGGTGGGAGATATAGTTCTGACTAGGCTCTCTACACTGAGTGTAGGTATTTCCTGCGCACCAGCAGCCTGCTACATAACATATCCGCTTTCTCTTTCTCTTTTGCTCCCTAGCGATAGGAGGGCGGTCATCATTGCATGGGGTGAAAGGGATGATGATGAATAATGCAGGTTGATCAACGTTAGACCTTAAGTTTTCCGAGGGTCGTTTAAGGGCGTATCCCGTGGGTTATATTAAACCAGTGGGCTTTAAATAAAGCTAAATTGCATCTTTACTTTGCATCTTTCGTTGTCCACATCGATATCTTCCTGATGTGTTATGTGGTTAGGAAATGTTGGCTGGGTAAAGATATGTACGTTTTAGCTGGCTATGGGTTTCAGGCGAAGTTGAGTAAAATTCGAGTGACAATACGTGAATGAAACTTGCGTGTCATGCATGCAACATTCTCCAAAGTCATAGATATAAAACACTAAAATAAGTGCACAAATTGATACGAGATTTAAGTACATATAGGTCATCAGCGTAAAATCTAGAATTTAAAGGGCGGAGCTATCATGGGATTAATGATATCATCCTAATGGCGTCTGTAGTTATATACATGTAGATACCGACATAATTTGGATCTGGGAATAGGCCTAGGCGCTAACGCTTAACCTCCATTGAGTAAATAAGACCAAACGAACATTTACCGATCGACCGCTTAAGCTCTGGAAAAGACTTCCGCCATAAACCCAACTAATCGTCGCGAGGATTCTCTATCTTCGTTGGTGCTGATCCCCCACTTCAATCTCTTTTGGCTTCCACCTTCCTTACGGATACCCCGCCATGCGTTCTGTTACCACAACCCCGCCCTTATCACGATCACACTGATAATCCGATCGGTATCTCGCCCTGTCGGATAGCCCTGTACCTATGTACTCTAGAGCACTCCTATGATCCAGCATCTCGCGTTAGTTGACCTTTCCAGAATAGGCGTGGGCGTATTCCGTAATTTAAGACACGACCCTATGCAGATGTAATTGACCGTGAACAGTAAGTTGTGCATATGCACTCCATGATCTTCCGAGCCCTTCAACTAGCATTCTCGAGCACTTCGATTTAGCACCTAACACAGTCTCTAGAGCTGCAGAGAATCTCCTTTAATTCGCCAATTTTAACATGCTCATGAATATGCTCCAGTTACCCCTGATGGTTTTGGGTTCTAGAAAGAAAAAAGACTTTAATCTTGAGTATCTGACTCCATAGGGTAATATTTTTCTGCTGTGGGCCATCTCATAATCATAAGCGGCCCCGATCGTTACTCGCATATTCGACCAACCAGATATGCGGGATAATAAGTAAACAGCCGCGGATTTAATCTTTCTGCTAGACATAACTGCAGCTTCTTTTGGAGCTAAAGTATGGAGGATTACTCTAACTGAGCGAGCTGGGTAGAGTAGGAAGGCTGAAAGCCTATGTGGAGTAGGTACTCTAGCTCCCATGCAGCCTGCAAGTACGTACTCGGGGCCTCTAGACTCGTAGTGTAGGTAAAGACACTCTGCTGAGACCTTCGTACAGCTTTCAAAGCACCCCAAAATCGAACGCTGAGTTACGTTTCTCCGATAGTAGGTCCTCTTCTGAGGACATCTAGAGTTGTATCTGTCGAAAGCTAAATGACATCACGAAAATTATTGTTCGCGCAGAATTTTCTTGTCGATGCAGCATAGTAAGAATTTTCAAAACGCTGGCGTTGCTGTCAAGTGTAAAGGCTGATGCAGGGGGTACATCCTCACATTCGCATATTGCAGACGACATACTTTAAATCCCCCAGAGTATGTGGAGTGTTGACGTCGATTGTTTCAGTGCGCACTGGGGCTGCATTGATTAACCGCTACCACTGCATGATCTATGGTATCATTGTGTACCGAGATTTCCGTTTCCGTTGCCACTGATCTGCCCCGCACATTGATTGTTTTGAAGAAAACGATTATTGATGGTGGTTGTTGTAGTCGGGTATGGGTGCTTTGTGGACCAGACAGGCCCGAAGAAAATTCCTATTTTCTAGCGGTTATGTTGGCCACCATCTCTCCCGATTGGTGACACGTACATGCGGTAACTAAGCACCTTCTCTGGAAGCTTTTCCATCAAAATTTTCGTCTTTCTAACGATGGGGCCGGTTGAAACCATGACAGCTGTTACCCCAGAATTCTGAAACTTGCGCCAAAAAAACTCACATAGTCCCGAAATCACGCTGCCGGCTGCTAAAACTGATAGACACTGCTTCTGAGAAATCGGGTAGAGCTTCTCACCAGTTTCACGAACACAATCCACATGTGATTGTAACTGGAGCTGGAAAGCTGAGAATTTTACTGCAGCTCCCGGAATACCGACCGATGGAGCGCTGCGGTAACTGAACCTGGCGCCAAATCGGAACAGATGGAAGAGAGCAATATGGATATTCAAATGCTCCAAGGAAGCCGATGTAATCAGATAACTGATATGAACACCCGATAGCCAGTGGATGTTGAACCCCTCATGGAAACTAGTTCCGATGCGAGGGGTTCGGGTTCGGGCCTGTTACTGCCCTTATTGGCGGTCCTCATTGGTGATCTTGGTTTCTTGTGAGAAACTCGAGTGATGTTGGGTGATAGTGGCTGGCCAGGATAGCAAAAGATTCGAGATTCTAAATATTGTCGTTGTTATTGTTGCCTTTTCAGGAACGAGATAATGTACCATGCACACCCAGCTCAGAGGTGCAGAACTAGTGTCTTGAGGGGAGCATTGGTATCATTGTGGATTGTGGGGCATTTCTGCGGTGAGGTTATGTAGAACAGACATTAGCTTGTGTTAGAAACCTCGAGAAGGTGCTCTAGTGTCTTTGACTGTGGGAAAATGTGTGTGCACGAAGCCCGTGGGGTTTGTGCGGGGGAGAGAAGCTCGGGTGGTGGTGGTCGTCTAAATAAACATCGACAAGTCAATGATGGAGAATGTATCTTTTGGTAAACGTAACACACCATGACGGTTGCATAATTACAGCTGCCGAGGAGCAAGCAAGTAAGCATGCTAAAGGGCTTAGAAGATGGCAGTGAAACAAAAAGGAAAACCGGAAGCGAATCGAAACATTATTGCAATCTAAATATATTCGGGGGTATTCTAGAACGCATTAGGCTGAAGGCGAATAGAATGTTTGAACTTGCGTAAGAAATCCCAGCTAGACAGCGCGAACGGACTGATTCAGGGGAGTGCTTACGAACATCCAGTAACAGTGCGTTATGCGTGCCATGCGTGCCACATCAGAGAAGGTTCACTGTGTGCACTGTGCAGCGAAAAATTGGGAAAAAGATTTCTCATATGCACATATCTGCACATGCTCTAGGTACATGTAGGCACTCTGGGTAGAGGAGGTACTCTACTCTACTTTACATTCTCTCTCAGACTCGCAGAGAGATCAGGGATCAACATAATGCTTGTTAGAGTGCCTACTGTAGCTAGAGCGATGAAGGTGGGAGAGAATTCCATTGTCGTCCAACGGCATGACGGGAAAGAAGGTGTGTAGAATAAAGTGAATTCCTAGGCATGTCGGCCCTGGCTCGCTCTGAAGAAAACCCGGGAGTTGGATGAGCCTGTTGTGTTGCGAACACTTTATTTAGTCGGAGAGTCCAGCCGGCGAACGGCGTGGGACTTGTGCCGCACCGAAACCAGGATGCACAGGGTTGTAATCCCTCCAGTCCAGTTTCGAACGGGGCTGGGGAACTTCCCATGTGGGAAGGGGAACTGCCCAAAGAGCAGGATCCCTTTGTATGGCGACGATCCTATCCCGTTGTGTCAAAGCGTGGTCCTGTGAGGATGAGGAAGGGAGGTCAGCTCAAGACTTCACACATAAAGAGACCACGCTGTCCTCAGCGTCCCTGGTTTCCTTTCTCTCTCCCCAACACACCAGTCTCTGCGCTCCAGCTGAGTTCTCGATGAAGTGGCCTATTCAAGGTGACGCTGTTCGTTAGCCAGCGGTCTTCATTAGGGAACTGTTTCTGTGACTCTTCTCTGACTCTTCCTATTCTGACTCCTCGAGTCACGTTTTACACTCACTATTTCGTTTGTGTTTATCTGTCCTCAACGTTGTTTACACACTTCATCTTCCCGTCCTGCACCAGTCTGCAGTGGGAAAGAAGGAGCTATCCACTACCACTTCCACACATTACACTTATTACCAACAAATTCCATCACAATCACGTCTAGATTGATCTTGCATACACACTGCATCTCATCATTCTCTCATCGCCATCCCCATCATCATCAGCTTCATTGTCTGTTGAATACCCCCCCCTTTCTTCATTACGTCATGCCTTCACAATTTATCGATTCTTTCTCTCCAATGGAGGCTTCTATCGATTCTCCCACCGTTACAAAGGACGAACCCCTCGACTTCGATGATTTCGGTAGTCTCGGTATGTTGATGACCGGCCCAATCACTCCAGCCTCGACAGCTCCGAGTGATCTCTACATCGGAACCCCTTGTGGGGATTCTCCTACTCCCAGCTATTCGGAAAGCCCTGGAAACAGTCTCTCCCCAACTCCTGGCCCAGGTGAAGCCCCGAAAGATGGTGAAAAGAAGCCAGTCAAGAAACGAAAGTCATGGGGCCAAGTTCTTCCTACACCAACAACCAACCTTCCTCCTCGGTATGTGTAATCCCTTTTTAGATATTTTTTTAAAAAAAAAATCATATAGCTAACCTCATATAGCAAACGTGCCAAGACTGAACCTGAAAAGGAGCAGCGTAGGATTGAGCGTGTTATTAGAAACCGCCAAGCAGCACAAACCTCTCGGGAACGAAAACGGTTAGAGTACGAGGCACTCGAAAAGGCCAAGGCTGCTCTTGAGGTTGACAACAACGAGCTCAAGAGCAAGTTGACTCTCACCGAAAGAGAGAACATCGAGCTTGCCCAACGTCTTTCCAACCTTGAGCAACAAGTCAAAATGTTCCAAGACACCATGAACGTTGCCAGACAGATCGCCGACAAGGTCAATTTCTCACAGTCTGGTGTTCCAGTCCCAACTGACATCCCATCACCTGTCGGCTCTGATGACGTTCCCTCCAGAATGTCCTTTGTCGACAACACTCTTGATCCAAATACCCTTTTCTCTAATGAAGCAAGTAATGCATCATCCCCGGCGTTGGATATCAACGTTGAAGCTCTCTACGAGACACAACAAACTGCTGTTTTGTTGTGTGACCTGCCGTGTCTGCAGAGAGCTTCGCGTCCTTCCCCGGAACTTTTGACTATTTGGATGATGCAGTACCTACTGTTGGCAACAATGACATCGACGATCTATTCGATTCAGATGCCTTTTCTACAACTTTTCTTGAGTCTCAAACGGGGGACCAAGATTCCGGATACTCAACTAGCACGCTTTTCTCCCTTGATTCTTTGGTTGATTACGACCAAACCGACCAAGCAGCTTTGGCGACGACTTCTGACCTGCAACCCGGCCTGCGCGCTCCTATTGGTAGCGACGGACGAGCGACTGCAATCGGAGTCGAGTAAGCTGTTTGGTAAGTTTGGTTCGTTGTCAGGCGGAAATGATGGGGGGTCTGGTTTGTTGGGCGGGAATCCGGCCAGTGAACTTCGGAGACTAGTGGAAAGTTTGGATTTGGATAGGCAATGTGATGAGATTGATTACGGACCCGTGAAACGGTCTGCAACATGGAACATTTCAAGGCGTCCTGGAAGTCCAGGTTGTGGGGGGTTTGTTTGATTCTGTCGGCGAATATTTGGGTCATAGGGTTTAGTTTAATCTTTTCCTTTGTTCCTTTCCTTTTTTTAACGCATCTCGTGCTTCTAATGCCTTTTCTTTGTTTGGGAGTGGGTGGATGTGGGTTCATCCAAAAAAAAAAAATTATGCGAGGAAATGGAAGGAGGGGGAACTCAGGGAGTCTCCGCCTGTTCTTATTTTTCTTATGAGGGTTTTTCTTTACGGTGTTAGAAGGGGCTTGCTCAGATTTTTTACTTTCGCTTTGTGTTCTGGGGGTGTGATTTTCTTCGATTGTTCTTTCTTTTTATATTCTAGCGTTTATATCGCGTGAATAATCTGGTACACAAGACTGTTCGTATTGTGGTTTATATTAGCTAGTGAGTGGGTTAGAAAACAGGCCCGCCTACAAATACCAGACAAAGCCTCAGGCTTAAAATAAATATTTACACTTTGTCCATCAGATGTGACCTGAAATCAACTGGATCAGATGAGATGAGATGGAAGTTCTGATTTCCTTCCATACATACGCCGTATGTAGTGTGTTGGCCGTTTCAAAATTTATGATATCACATTAAGTCGCCCCAGCCCTATCAAATACACCCCCTTTTTGCAGAATTTTCAGAAGATAATTCATGCCGTGATATTTCTTCTTTCAACATTTCTTTCACGTCGGTGTGTTGGCTGGCGTCGGTAGGCATGAATGTTTCTGTAGGGGAAAGGGATGGACTGGCTTAAGGCTTTCCCACATGTAAAAGGAAAAGGAATCGAGTGATAGATGAGTGGGCGCGGGCTTACTTGATATTGATCCCTGCAACCTTGGTGGGGCTGATGGGCGGTGATGGAGGTTCTTTGCATACTGCCGGGCCTTTCACCGGGATCGCGTTAATGTCCCCCACACGGGCCACACTTGTTCTAGGTATTCTTCCATCACCATCATCATGGGCAATCAATTGCTTGTACAGTCGTACCTTGATATAATTATATGTTCGATCACCAGAACTAGTTGAAAAAAACAAGGCGATACCAGTGAAAAGCCAAGATTCAGGCAACGAATATGATTTTCTGATCCAAAGACATTCTTGAACCGGCAACCCGTACAATACAGCAAAGATCTATGCGACACATATAAGAAAATCGCAGATTCCCCGCAGTTATTTTTTTCCTCATCTGAAGGCATCTCTGTTACTCCCGGATCGGTTGTATTTCTGATACTCAGAGCAGAAAGGTACCTTCAGATTAGTACACATGCGAAATAAACTCCGTGTGGTCGGGATGGCGGATGATCCTCTGAATTTATCCATTAGAGCTGCAGTGCATTTTCACCCCGCTCTAGCCAGCCCAGTTCATGAGCTCCGTGTACATGTTTTATGCTCAACACGTTTACCAGGCTACTCAAGTAGGCCCTCGTGATATACTATGTATCCGCCATCAATTCCTTATTTTTTTTTTATCAAACCCCTCATCTCCACTTCTCGACACATCTGTAGGAGTATATAAACGTTACTGGCCAAGCTCTTCCATATCAAAAAGCATCACCTATCTTATATAACTATCAACAATGGCTTCAGAAAGCTACTTCCTCGGTGTCGACGTCGGAACCGGCAGTGCTCGGGTTTGTATTATTGATAGTACTGGTGAAATCAAGGGCGTTGAGTCGAAAGAGATTCAGACATGGAACCCGAGAGCAAATTACTATGTGAGTATGCTAGCTGCCCCAAGAATTTCCAATGCTAAAGAGTTCACAGGAACAATCGACAGCAGATATCTGGTTCGCAATCTGCTACTGTAGTCGTCTTGTCCTCCAGAAATTAGGCGTAGACCCGGAATTGGTGAAGGGGATTGGATTCGATGCCACCTGCTCGTTGGCTGTCATGTCTGAGGACACGAACGAGCCAATTTCTGTGGCTGGCCCGGATTTCACAGAGACGGCGAGGAATGTTATTTGTATGTTACGATATTCCTTTTATAGATTGGACCATGACTAACGAATGTTGTTGTCTAGTATGGATGGACCATGTAAGAAGAGCAGTGACCTCATCGATCGTTATCGTAGACCACATCTAATATTTGAGAAATCTATTATAGCGTCCCGTCAAAGAAACCGCAAAAATAAATGCCACGAAACACAATCTCCTCCAATATGTTGGAGGCTCAATGTCAATCGAGATGGAAATCCCGAAGGTTCTCTGGCTGAAAAATAATATGCCTAAGGAGCTCTTTGAGAGGTGCAAGTTCTACGATCTGGCAGATGTTCTGACACATCTTGCAACTGGGAAGGAGACTAGATCTTTCTGCAGTGCCGTGTGTAAGCAAGGCTTTGTCCCTGTTGGTATTGATGGAAGTGTCAAGGGTTGGCAAGACGATTTTTTGAATGCCATCGGGTTGCCAGAGCTTTGCGAAGATAACTTTAGAAGGATGGGTGGTGTACATGGACAGGTACAGAGCGCATCGGACCCTTAAGCTTACAATTTCTAACATGATCTATTTTACAGAATGGCACAATGCTATCCGCCGGAGAGCTGGTGGGAGAATTGAGTGAGAGCGCTGCAAAAGAACTTGGCCTCAAAGCTGGAACTAAGATTGGTAGTGGTGTCATCGATGCATACGCAGGATGGATCGGAACAGTTGGAGCAAAGGTTAAGATGAGCGAGGACTTGCTGGACCAAGACCACGCAAAGAGTGATATCGAACAATGTTTCAAGCGTCTAGCAGCGGTAGCTGGTACAAGCACATGTCATTTGGTTATGTCCAGAGATCCTGTATTTGTGCCTGGAGTATGGTAAGCCATAAACCTAAAGCCACATCGCTTAAGACCCGGTAATTAACCAAAAGAAAACCATCTAGGGGGCCCTACCGCGACGTTCTTCTCCCCGGTTTTTGGATGGCTGAAGGCGGCCAGTCCTCCACCGGCAGTCTCCTCCACAACGTCCTCACCACTCACGCCTCCCATGCCAAAGCCCTCGAAGAGGCTAAAATTGCTGGCACAAACATTTTCGACTACCTCAACTCCCACCTCGAGGACATGCGCAAAGCCCAAAATGCGCCCACAATCGCCTATGTTGCCCGTCATCTCTTCTTTTACGGTGATAAGCACGGTAACCGTTCGCCCATCGCTGATCCTGAGATGCGTGGTTCCATTGTTGGGTTGAGTATGGATTCCAGCGTCGATGATTTAGCGCTGCAGTACTTCACTGCTATGGAGTTCATTGCTCAGCAGACTAGGCATATCATTGAAGCACTGAACAACAGTGGTCATTCTATTACTAGTATCTTCATGAGTGGTGGACAATGCAAGAACAAACTCCTGATGCACCTTATTGCTGATGCAACTGGTTACCCTGTATCTATCCCAAGATACATTGATGCGGCAGTTGTTCTCGGTGCTGCCATGCTCGGTGCTAAGGCTGCCAGCGTGGACGCTCAAGGAAACACTGCGAACCTGTGGACGATCATGGATAAGATGAGCAAGCCGGGAACCATCATTGAGCCTACCACAAACGAGAAGGAGAAGAAGCTTTTGGATGCTAAATATAAGGTGAGTAATTGCGCTATCTATGCGCCCCTGTAAATTGTTCTCCTCTAATCATTTCCGCAGGTCTTCCTCGAGATGGCAAAAGCACAGCAGGCGTACCGGAAGAGTATCGACGAGGCTGTTGGCGATTGGTCTGCCTAAGCCGGTACTAGCAGATCTAACCAAGGCTTTATTTTGGGATTCCTTTTGTTTAAGTTTCGTGATATAAGGGGATTTTTTATTATTCCACTCAAGGGAAGCTAGATTATGATCACAAAAATGATGTAAACGTACCTGTATAAGCATCAAAAAGAAAAGGACCCTAAACCCGATAAGTTTTAGCAAAAAAAAACTCACAAAACCCAAGATGTGTGTAGAGAAATGATTGGCCACAAGAAAAGTACCCTTTGATGCATGAATAATCGTCACATTATAGCATAAGCGCATAATTGCCCTCAAAACACGAGTACGAAAAAGTGTAAATTTTGTTTCAAATAACCCTTGCACCCTAAACAAACAATGCCGCTTATCAAGCACCAGAAAATAATCCAAAGAAAAATTAAAGAAAAAACAAAACCGAATCTAGGGTTCTAACACTGGTATCAACCTATCCTCACCAAGTCCTATCGTTGCATCATCATTTATCACTCGCCACAGATTCTCACAACTTTGCCTTCTCCTTGAACGACGGCGCACACAGAACATCGTATGCTGAGCTTGATAATGTATCTGAGGCAGTTGAGACGGTGTGCGTAAACAGCCCTCTCGTGTCAACCATAGATGGGTTCAAGTCCTCGACCTTGTTAGCGCCGATCAAACGCATATTCATCACAAATTCATCCTATTCAATGTTAGCTTCTACATAAACAAAGACAAATACACAGAAGGGGGAATTACCTTCAACAACTGCATGGCCCTATTGACACCAGCCTCACCGTACGCACTCATCGCATACAAGAACGGCCTGCCAATACCCACACCCTTGGCACCCAAGCAAAGCGCCTTGATGATATCAGTCGCACGCCTGATACCACCGTCGATGTAAATCTCAATTTTGTTCTCCATGCCCCTCTTCCGGAGCTCGGGCATGACCTCTGCAAGGACTTCAATTCCCGATGGTGCAGTATCGAGCTGTCTGCCACCATGGTTAGAGAGGACTACACCAGCACAGCCATGCTCGACAGCTAAGATGACATCTTCGACGCGCTGCACACCCTTGAGGACAATTGGCATCTTGGTGATGGATTGAAAGTAGGCGACGTCTTTCCATGAGAGGGAGGGGTCAATGAAGGAGGAGATCGCACGTGCGGCACCCTGAGAGCGGTCGACATTATCGTTTTCAACCTTTTGTACGTTGGTGCCAACATCTTCGAACTTAGAGCGCATATCCTTCTCACGTCGTCCAAGTTGTGGTGCGTCAACGGTTATGAAAAGTCCTTTGCACCCGCGCTTTTCGGCGTGCTCTACTATGCGGCGAGTGACGTCGCGGTTCTTGTTGACGTAGAGCTGGAGCCATTGGATCTGATCTCCCTTCTTTGCGTCCACAATCTCATCGAAAGAGCAGGACGCAAGTGTAGGGATCATTTGAATGACATCATGCTTATGCGCCGCCCTGGTCAATACCACCTCACCCTCAGGGTTTCCAAGCTTTCCTAATGCCGTTGCAGTAACATAGAACGGAATTGAACACTTATCGCCCAACATTGTTGTGCTAGTGTCCACATGTTCCACATCAATCAGGATTCTCGGGCGGAACCATATCTTGTGGAACGCTGAGTGGTTTTCCCGCATTGTGATTTCGTCGTCGGCACCGGAAGAGTAGTAAGCCCACGCGGTGCGCTTCATGACATGCTTTGCGACAGCTTCAAAGTCGAGGAGGTTGTAGCATTGCTCAAGGATGGGCATGTTCGCGATACGTTCCTGGCGGGCGGCTTCTTCGGGGTCTTCGGCTTTGACTTCAGCTTCGACGGTGGACATGTCGACTGGTCCTACGTGCTTGGATTTGTCGAGGTACTGGACCTGGTGTTAGTTTACCCATTTCATGAGGACCTTGGGGGTTGTGAAGAGCTCACCTTGTCAAGAGTGTCTGGGGGGTGGATAGGGTCAAATTCTTCTGTCGCATCCTTTCCGGCATACTTCAGAATGATCTTTGAGCCACCGGGGTGCTCTGGTAGGAATTCTGTGACATCGTAGGCTTTTCCGTGTACGATAACCCAGCAAGAGTCCTTGTTGTTGTGCTTTGCCACGTCCTGGCCGGTCAATTTGGCGTGCATTTTTGCAATTGAGAAGCTAGAGGTCAGAGAGAGGAAAGTCCCTGCAAAGAAAGAAAATCTGGGGAAAATCTGGGGAAACGAGAGTAAGTTAAGTGGATTTAAAAACGAAAGAAGTTGCTCGGGTTTAAGACGGGGAAGAACAGGTCGCGGGACGCTAACAAGCATTTGTCGGCATTGCTCGGGCTCGGCTGAATGGTTTGCGAAATGTGGGGTGCCAAGAAAGCCTATTTACCCCAGCCCCACGCAGAAAACCATCGCCGGGAGCTCCGTTGATATAAATCCACTGATGCGGCCGCAGTCTTTCTTCACCGATACTGATACCGATCAACTTATTAGATCCTGAAGGTAAATTTCCTTACATCTTTACTTTTCACAGAAAGAATCTGCTTGGAAAAACACTGATAAAATGTTACTTGTACTACTACATGTAGATACATTGTTTATGGCTAGTCAAAATTCTTGATTGTTAAAACTTTAATAATCAACTTATCATAGGTCCAAGGAGCTCACGGGGAAACAGTCGGTACGGCCACTTTTCGTGAACAATCACAGCTCAAAGGGGTAGGTACATAATAGCAGTACCAAAGAATGAAATGTGATTCCTACAAAACACTGCCAGAATGCGGTATTCCCGCGACGCAGATTTTGGCGCAGTTGGCCGTCATTGATTCTGTGGAGCCGAATGCGTGAAATCTTGGCAAATCGTTGCCAAGCATGTCATAAAAAGCTTTTTATTGGAATAAACTTGACTGGGTTTGACAGAATCCCCCCCAGAGTTCCCGAGCAAGATGCCGATTGGAGAATGGGATCCTGATAGTTTCTGGTGATTGCCATCCCAATTCTGGTATTATAACGACAGCCCTCACGAATAAGGAAAGAGATTTTTCGGAGTCTGGGGAAAATGATGCAGTCATTTGAAAGGCTGAAATCCCTCGTGAGCCCAGGGGATCTATTAGTAGACTTCTTAATCGATTTCTTGCTGACGTCCAGTAGTCAGCTGCGGTTGTAACGCGTAAACAGTGGTAGAAATACCTACAATTACTGTAACGTGAGGCGTATTGGTGTTCTCGTGATATACAATACAATATTGTATGCTTATCTGACTCGACCCCAAGACGAATATGAGGCAGGAAAGAAGCTAACCCACGCTTTCTATTCCTGTGACCCAGACTGGCCACCAGTTGTGACACGCGCCTAGCCTCTGGTTATACTGCTAGCGCCATTACGATAGGGCTACATAATAATTATCCGTTATGGAAAAACAATACCCGTGTAGTGGCGGCGGCGGCTGTTTCAAGTGTTGTTTCAGGTTGTTGGGGAAAACTCTGCAACTGGTGCTCATCTTAAAGAGTTGGATAAGAAACCACCGCAATAATGTGCCAGAGTAGGTAAGTATTCGAGAAATGAAGCGGAAGATCCAGAGATTTAATTTGAACTGTGGCTGTGATTGTGATATCTAGATAGCATTCAGCTGCAGATGACTGGTGACTGGTCGTTGGGATCGTCCCTATGATGATGCTGAGCGGCGCAGGACGTCGCACAAAACGAAACAACCGTGCACCCAACCAATCACGGGTGTAAACATGAGACACCTTGTTGACTGGGGCTCCTTCCTGGGTTTGTATTCTTCCCTTTCACCCAGGGACGGGCTATCGAGGTTTCTGGTGCTGGGTGTATTGGCATATCCTCAATAGTACCTACAGTAGGTAAGGTATTGCTGTTTTGCCTGCGGAGGAGGTATGTATGCTCTGATATATGTACCCCCTAGGTAAGGTACTTTGCGTATCGTCCTTCTTCCCCGCTTCTTCCTTGGTTTTTGAAACCAACCTCCTCTTTTTTACGTGACAACCGTTCTCACACACCAAAAACCCCCACCGCTCCGGCTTCATGTCGATCGCCCACCTATCACTAAGGAAGGCCCTCTTCGAGGCGTTCGACCTTAGTTCGCTCGACAAGGCCGTTGGCCTTCCAGAGCTCACCTACACCCTCTCTGCTGAGGTTGAAAACGCAATTGGCAGCAGAGACCACCGCGACTCCAGTCAACTGAATACCCTCCTCTTGTTAGCAGCTATTCAGCAAAACAAACAGCTCGCCGAAACAGTCTCCAAGCTAGGAGACGACATCACCTCCCTGAGGGAGTCAATCGCAGCCTCCAAAGCTGCTCCCACCCCCTCAGACCCTCTCATCGTCCAAAAACTGGACACCCTCATCGGGAGAACCAGCCTCCCCCCTCCCACACCCCAGGCCCCCCACAGACCTACCCCGCCCGCCAAGCCTGCCCAACCGAGGGCAACCCCCATGTATGCACAAGTGGTTCGATCCACCCCCAACTCTAACGGGGACTGTGGACGTAGAAACTATGGAGCCAAGGAATACAACCGAGGCGAAGACGTGGACGTAGGAGGTTCGTGGACTATGGATTATGGGGCCGAAGGGTATACCTAAGGCGAGAACGGGGACTGTGGACTATGGACTATGGATGGTCGTACCTGGTCTAGTATACCGGGTAAACCCTATGACGTAGTGCGAACCAAATAGTATTCGTAACTGTGAAGTACAGAGGTTGCATAAAGAGAAAAGAGAAAGAAAGAGAAATGAGAAATCACGAGACAACGCCCCCCTTATATATCCATACCCTATCCCAATGCTGACTCATACCCTCGCGTAACAGAAACAAATAAAACATAATAGAAACCCACTTCACTAAACCCAACCACACTGCATAATCCTTCTCCCTTGTACCCAGACAACTCACATAGCCAATCCGTCTAGCTGCCGTTACAGACCACTCCCCCCTCTACGGCCTACCTCCTGGTAGGCTTAGGCTTCCGTGGATATCGTTCGTGAAATCGTTTGACAATATCAGGCGAGTGTTCGACATCCGACAATGGCTGCCACGAAGCTTCGTCATAACCGGCATACTTAACCAAGTATTCAAGTCTTCCTCGACGATCCCTGGAATCCAAAATATTCTCGACTTCCCACTCCTCCTGTCCTTCAACTTCGACCGGCGGTGGTGGTAACTGTTGTTGTCCTGGTAGGGGATCAATGGCTTCCGGCGACAGTAACGAAACATGAAATACAGGGTGGACCTTCATAGAACGAGGAAGTTCTAATTCATAGGCATAGGGATTGACAATTCGTTTAATAACATATGGCCCAATACGCTTCCAATCGAGTTTCTTCGAGGGTCGTTTGGTAAGGACATGGCGGGTGGATAGGAAAACCTTATCTCCCACACGATAGTAAGGAGCGGGAGCCCGACTGGTATTGGCCGACTCTTCTTGAATCCTTTGCGCTCGGAACAACTCATCTCGTAGAAAATCTAATACCTCCTTCATCTCCCGTGCGATACCATTAGCCTGATCCTCTGCTGTCGTCCTACCATGTTCCAAAGGACCGAACGTCATTCTTGGATTTCGTCCTGAATTGGCAAAGAAAGGAGATATCTTTGTTGTTTCTGAAGTGTGATTGTTGGTCGCAAATTCAGCCATTGGTAACCATCGAGTCCAGTCATCTTGTTGATAGGAAACATAACTCCGAAGGTACTGTTCCATCACGGCATTAATCCTTTCCGTCTGCCCATCCGTCTGAGGGTGGAACGCAGTAGAAAACTTTGGTGATATTTCCAGACGGTCGCAAAGAGACCTCCAGAATTCCGCAACGAATTGTGTCCCTCGATCGGATACCATAGTGTCGGGTAACCCATGTAATTTCCAAACATTGTCAATATACAGTCTCGCTACTTCCCTTGAATCCGCCTCCTTTGTTGTTGGTATTAGGTGTCGCATCTTAGTTAACCTATCCACCACGACCAAGATTGCATTGTATCCATCGCTCTCTGGGAGGTCGGTAACAAAATCCATTGACACATCTGTCCATGGTCCATCGGGTATTGGCATAGGTCGAAGTACCCCATAAGGTGCATTGCGTGGTGCCTTGCTACGGGCACACACACTGCAATTCTTAACGTACTGGTCGACATATTTTCGCATCTGTGGCCAGTAGTACTCTCGATTCAGGAGTTCCAAAGTCTTCGCTCTACCTGGATGGCCTGCCGATGGTTTGTCATGATGTTCCTTTAGGAGTCTTAGCCGAAGGTCATTGTCGTCGGGTACATAGAGTGCGCCACGGTAAAGTAGCCGACCGTTGTTATCTTCCGTACATTCGGCAAGCGAGATCTTATTCGAGTGACGGACGCCGTTCCGAAGCATCGCGAGTACTTTGTTCGGGAAACTGTCAACTTGGTAAGCATTTAAAAACAACTCTTCTACAGTGGACATTCCTTCAGCGGATTCATTTGAAAAAGAACCCGCGAACAAACTTAGCTTTAAATCCAAATTTTTTCGCTTCAAAACCACCTGGCTTTGATGCGTCAACCGTTCATCCCCCTCCTTAGGTAGGTCACCCGACCTCCTAGTCAATGCATCCGGCTTTGCCCCTTGTTTCCCTGGTCTAAATTGAATGACGAAATCAAAACGTGAAAGAAATTCCGACCAACGGGCTTGTCGACGGTTTAATAGCTTTGTTGACATAAAATATTCAAGGTTCCTATGATCGCTGAGGACTTCGATTGGGAATTGTGCCCCTTCCAAATGATGTCGCCATTCCTCAAAACATCGTACAATTGCCAGGAGTTCTTTGTCATAGATTTCATAGTTGCATTCCGCAGGGGAATGCTTCTTTGAGAAGAAAGCGACTGGATGTAAAATTCCTTCATCATCACGTTGGGATAGGATTGCAGCAGAAACATAGTCGGATGCATCAGTTTCTACTACGATTTTCCGATTCGGATCAAAGTGCGCTAGTATGGGTGCCGTTATGAACATCTTTTTCAATGTCTGGAATGCTTCCTCCCTTTCGTCCGTCCATTCGAACTTAACATTTTTCTTCGTCAAAGCCGTAAGTGGGGCAACAATCTTTGAGTATCCTAGGATAAACCGTCGATAGAAATTAGCAAATCCCAAAAATACCTGAACATCATGAAGGTTCTGCGGTGTAGACCACTCTAACACATCGACAACCTTCTTCGGATCCATCCTATTCCCATCTGGGGTGAGAATAAGGCCGAGATACTTCGTTTCTTGAACCATAAACTCGCATTTCTCGGGTTTAAGGTGAACATGATTCTCATCAAGTACCTTTAGAACCTTCTGAATATGGTCTTCATGCTCTGACAGAGTTTCCGAATAGATCAGGATGTCATCCAGATATGCCGTTACAAATTGATCGAGGTAAGGACGTAGAATATCATTGATCCAATGTTGAAATGTGGCAGGGGCATTCGCTAATCCAAACGGCATTACAGTATACTCGAAATGTCCATAACGAGTCCTGAACGCCGTCTTCCATTCGTCTCCCTCGGCTACTCTGATTTGGTTATATCCCCAACGTAGATCCAGCTTGGTATAGTATTGCGCTTTTGATAACTTGGCCAGGGTTTCCTTTAGCAACGGCAATGGATATCGATTCTTGATCGTGATAGCATTGAGACCACGATAATCCACACAGAGCCGGAGAGTCCCATCACTTTTCTTTACGAACAGTATGGGTGCTCCCGCTGGCGACTCACTGGCCCGAATAAATCCCTTAGGTAGGTTTTCATCAAGGTATTCCCGTAGTGCTTTTAGTTCGGTTTGGGAGAGGCCATATATCGGTCCATAGGGAGGTCGTTTACCTTCCTTCAATACTATCTCAATATCATGGGATGGTCGATGGGGCGGCAGGATAGAAGCGTCATATTCTTGGAACATATGGAGACGATGGTGGAACTGCTTTGGTACTAGTTGCTTGACGTCGACGGTGGATTTCTCAACTGCTGAAATGACAACAGTATGATGTTCCGGTAGAGGGATCGATATTCCATGGGCAGTAACTGTCGTTCCACTGAGTGAACAGTGTTGACAACAGTTTCGAGAGTCAAAAATAAGTAAATTTTCCTTCGGCCGAATCGTAACATCGTGACGTCGCATCCAAGGTATTCCCATTACAATTGGATAGTGTCCCAGCTTCGTTACAAAACATGATGCAGTTTCCCGATGACCATGGATATCCAACGACACATTGACAATATGGGTGATCTTTCCCGATTCAATAGGCCTCCCATCCATAACATCTACCTGACGAGGTACTTTAAGGCGGGTCATTGTAAGATTATTGTGGCGTACAAAAGATTCGTCAATAAAAGCGTATCCAGAGGCTCCGGTATCAATAAGGGCATAGGTGGGTATGAAAGAATCAGAATCCTGAGAAACAGAGCAGGTAACGACAAGAGAGTCTTCGGACATCTCATCCTCGGACACGGCAGCAGCAGGGAGAACAGAAACAGGTGGCGGGGCTGGCCCCTTTGGTTTGCCATTTTTTACCAAAGGGGCTGACCTTTTAACGCCGGCTTTGGGGATCCATTTTCAAGTGGCCTTTCTCGCCAATTGCTAATGGAACGGGGATCTTTGACGTGAGGAGTCAGGTAACGAGGCTTAGCGGGGGCATGGCGACGTAGGGGTTTGACTGTGGTGGCAGAAGCGGAGATACGGGAACGAAGGTCAGCGATGGTGGCATTGGCTTGGGCCTCCCAGGCCTTTGCAACAGAGGTGATGTGAAGAATCTCATCTTCAACATCAGCGAGGTTCTCGTCAGCAATGGCGAGACTTTCCTGGTGTAGTGCCAGACGGAACCGAAGCTCTTCTTCTTCAGCCTTCGATTCCTCCAGCTCAATCTTCAAAGCAACGATAACCTCGTCGCGACCTCGGATGATTTCAGTAGAATCTTCCTGGTTATCGCATAAGGTTTGCCAAAAATCGGCAGCCTTTTCGTTGGCTGCTTCTAGTTCTATAGTGAGGCCGGCAATGACCTCTTCCTGAGCCGTATCAATAACGGGTTCTAGTGGCGTGGGGGTGTCAAGAGGCTTGGTGAGAGCTTCCAAACACTCAGCAATAAGACCATGAGCCTCCGTAAGTTCTTCACCGAAGTCTATATCGGCTGGGAGGGGACCATAGGTGGTCAGAAATTCTGAAAGACGCTGCAACAGCGTATCCTGAGTGGTGTCGGACATAGTCGCGACCAGAGCTAAGCAAGGTGGTGTTGTATCGGTTGGCTGTAGTGGATGCAACCTAAGTCTAACGGGGACTGTGGACGTAGAAACTATGGAGCCAAGGAATACAACCGAGGCGAAGACGTGGACGTAGGAGGTTCGTGGACTATGGATTATGGGGCCGAAGGGTATACCTAAGGCGAGAACGGGGACTGTGGACTATGGACTATGGATGGTCGTACCTGGTCTAGTATACCGGGTAAACCCTATGACGTAGTGCGAACCAAATAGTATTCGTAACTGTGAAGTACAGAGGTTGCATAAAGAGAAAAGAGAAAGAAAGAGAAATGAGAAATCACGAGACAACGCCCCCCTTATATATCCATACCCTATCCCAATGCTGACTCATACCCTC